ACTCAGCACTGCCTGAGGGCCCGGGGTCAGTAGGGGGCCCCATGAGATGCCCCTGGTACCTTTTTCATAGGCTTTTTTGAGTTTGGGCAAGGACACAGGGGCCCCATGATCCCCTATTGCCTGGGGGCCCCATGAGTTGTCAGTCCACCCCTGGCTGTGACCAATCACAGCTCTCACAGTATTTCTCAATGGGTGTAGGAATGCAGTCAGCAAGAAGGAGAAATGATTGCTTTTACACCCATAAAGGCTGTAAAAGCAATCAGTGTGAAAAAAAAAAAAATCTTCATCAACCCCCACAAGTAGTACAGTGTCACCATGGTGATACTGTACTGCTAGGGTGACAGTATGTAGAAAAAAAATAACATAAATAATAATATAAAAAAATTAAATAAAAATGTAAAACAAAAAGTTAAAAATGATAATTTTTGGTTATAAACTAATTTGTGTGTTTTTGTTTTTTTTTTTTTTACTAAAAAGAAAAGGAATACTTTTTGGCCAAGATTTATGAAATATTATTTATTTCCAAAATTTTTATAAGAAAAACACTTTTTTTAAAAATTTGTGGACTTTTTTGATTTACATAGCAAAAAAAAATACAAATCCCAGCAGTGAATAAATACCACCAAAATAAAGCTTCATCTGTCTCCAAAAAATGCCAAAAAATTCATATGGGTACAGTGTTGCATGACCGCGCAATTGTCATTCAAAGTGTGATAGCGCTGAAAGCTGAAAATTGGCCTGGGCAGGAAGGGGGTGAAAGTGTCCGGACTGGAAGGGGGGGGAAAGTGTTCGGACTGAAAGGGGGGAAGTGTCCGGACTGGAAGGGGGTGAAAGTGTCTGAACTGGAAGGGAGTGAAAGTGTTCGGACTGGAAGGGGGGGGAAAGTGTCCGGACTGGAAGGGGGGGAGAAGTGTCTGGACTGGAAGGGGGTGAAAGTGTCCAGACTGGAAGGGGGTGAAAGTGTCCGGACTGGAAGGGGGGTGAAAGTGTCCGGACTGGAAGGGGGTGAAAGTGTCCGGACTGGAAGGGGGTGAAAGTGTCCAGACTGGAAGGGGGTGAAAGTGTTCGGACTGAAAGGGGGGAAGTGTCCGGACTGGAAGGGGGTGAAAGTGTCCAGACTGGAAGGGGGGGAAAGTGTTCGGACTGGAAGGGAGTGAAAGTGTTCGGACTGGAAGGGGGTGAAAGTGTTCGGACTGGAAAGGGGGAAAGTGTCCGGACTGGAAGGGGGTGAAAGTGTTCAGACTGGAAGGGAGTGAAAGTGTTCGGACTGGAAGGGAGTGAAAGTGTTCGGACTGGAAAGGGGGGGAAAGTGTCCGGACTGAAAGGGGGGGGAAAGTGTCTGGACTGGAAGGGGGGAAAGGGTCCAGACTGGAAGGGGGGTGAAAGTGTCCAGACAGGAAGGGGGGGAGAAGTGTCTGGACTGGAAGGGGTTGAAAGTGTCCAGACTGGAAGGGGGTGAAAGTGTCCAGACTGGAAGGGGGTGAAAGTGTCCGGACTGGAAAGGGGTGAAAGTGTCCGGACTGGAAGGGGGGGGAAAGTGTCCGGACTGGAAGGGGGGAGAAAGTGTCCGGACTGGAAGGGGGGGGAAAGTGTCCAGACTGGAAGGGGGGGGAAAGTGTCCGGACTGGAAGGGGGGGAAAGTGTCCAGACTGGAAGGGGGGTGAAAGTGTCCGGACTGGAAGGGGGTGAAAGTGTCCAGACTGGAAGGGGGGGAAAGTGTCCAGACTGGAAGGGGGTGAAAGTGTCCAGACTGGAAGGGGGGTGAACGTGTCCAGACTGGAAGGGGGGGAAAGTGTCCGGACTGGAAGGGGGGAAAGTGTCCAGACTGGAAGGGGGGGGGAGTGTCCAGACTGGAAGTGGTTAAGGGCATAATTATGTAAATTGAAAATACAAAAAATACAAACTCTTTATTTTGTCAAATTTCCCCAGCATGACAAACCATACCCGATCATAGTAGAACATTGCCATCAAATTTATTTGATAGGTAATACAAATACTTTATATAGTCATACATAGTTACCTATTTTTAAAAAACACATTGTGACATCACCGTCAACACACATTGTTGCAGAGGCATTTTCTATGAGTCCAACGCGTTTTGGAGTGACTTCACTCCTTCTTCAGGGAAAGAAGATAACTCTGCATAGGGGTGACATCATAATACATGAAAGTACAAGAACATAAGGGAATCTTCAACTAGACTTCAAATTGTTACCACCTCATAGGCCAGGGGACCGGCGAGTCCCAGGTACATAGGGACCCCCCCAAAACCGGATCAAAGGGCACACCCAGATCATGTTATATTTGGACACTTCAGCACCTCATCCACATCTAACCCAATAAAATGGGGATTACATAGATAAGGCCGTATAAACCTTTTGAGGATTCTATCACAATAATGGGATCTGAAGTGGGCAGCACAGTGGCTAAATGGTTAGCACTCCCACCTGGCAGTACTCGGGTCGTTGGTTCAAATCCCAAACACGGCACCACCTGCCTGGAGTTTGCATGTTCTCCCTGTGCCTGTGTGGGTTTCCTCCCACACTCCAAAGACATGCTGGTAGGTTAATTGGCTCCTGTCTAAATTGTCCCTAGTATGTGTATGTATGAATGTAAGTTAGGGACCTTAGATTGTACGCTCCTCGGGGGCGGGGACTGATAGGAATGTACAATATATATGTAAAGCGCTGCGTAAATTGACGGCGAGATATAAATACCTGAAATACATAATAAAGCTGCCCAACACATACAAAGCCACCTTGCGGTAATCCGGAACCATCTGCATTGGCCCATAAAGAGGAGGATTATCTCCAGCAACAATAGACCACCATGCAAAAATATATCCCCCTCCAGTGACAATAGATCCCCCCCCAGCAGCCAGCATCAATAGACCCTCCAGCACGCCTTGCCATTACATACATTCAGTGCTGAAGGTGCCGGAACTGCGTTCTCCCATGTTCCTGCTGAAAAAAAAACACCTGCACGCAAGGATATGTCAACTCCATTCCTCCCACGTGGCAGCCAGCAGGCATGGAGTTGACCATTCAACTCTTCATTGGGGGAGGCAGGAAGGCCGAACATATGATCTCCATACTGGGTGTTTTTGGGGGTGTTTGTGATGTGTTTTCCCCAGAAGGTTCCTCCTAGGAGTTCTCTGACTCTATACATCACAGGTCACATGAAAAAGCTAGTTAACGCCTGTGAGGACCTTGCAGAAGAGAGGAGGAGCTTCTGCATGGATTCTCGACGTCTTACACTGGACACTCTCATAGGCTGATCTTTTTTTCTGTCCCTTACCGGTAATGGTTGGGTTCCAGCGCCCAACCTGGAGCTTCCTCTCCCCACTGGAGCCAAATGGACCATGCTTTCTTGCACTTTTCTCTGTCTCCAAGCACTTGTGGAGGGGGACTTGTCAGCTAAAATGTTGCAGGCGAGCAGGCAAGTGCTTCAAGATGGAGAGAAGTGCCATCTCTGCCATTGGACCCTTGCTTGGACAGCCATGGAGGGGGAGGGGCACCCTGTCTGACCTCACCGCTAGTCTTAAAGTGGTTCTAAAGTCTTATTTTTTTCACCTTAATGCCTTCTACGCATTAAGGTGAAAAATCTTCTCTGCTGCACAACCCCCCCCAACCTCCCTTTATTTTTACCTGGGCCCCTGCCGATCCAGCAATGTGCACAAGAGCAGCAGCTCTTGCCGCTGTCTTCCTCCTCCCTGGGCAGATTGATAGTCATTGGCTCCCCCTGCTTTCAATCAAATGCTGTGCCAAGGAAGAGGGGGTGAGTCCGAACTGCCTGCTCTGTGTCAATAGACGCAGACAGAATGGCTCGGGAGCGAGCCTGCATGGGTGCCCCCATGGAAAGCGGCTTTCCATGGGGGCACCTGCCTAAGAGGAGGAGCCCCAGAAAAGGAGGATCTGGGCTTCTGCTCTGTGTAATACCATTGTAAAGAGCAGGTAAGTATAGACATGTTTGTTATTTTAATATTTAAAAGAAAAAACAAAGCTTTAAAGTAACTTTAAAGGCTCAAGGTATTTCCCTTCATGAATTCTATGCATGAAGGTAAAAAACCTTTTCTGTGCAGTATCCCTCCCAGCCCCCCACCCGATACTCACCTAAGCCCCCTCTCAATCCAGCAATGTACACTGGAGTCTCAGCTATCCCAGGACTCTCTCTCCTCATTGGCTGAGACAGCAGCGGGAGACATTGACTAAAATACAGCCAGTGAGCCAATGAGAAAAGAGCGGGGGCGGGGCTGAGCCACAGCTCTGTGTGTGAAGAGCAGCAGCTTGGGAATGCGCCTGCTCAGGTGCCCCATAGCAAGCTTCTTGCTGTGGAGGCAACCGACAGGAGGGAGGGGCCAAGAGCCCCAGCAGGGGGCCCGAGAAGAGGAGGATCTGACCTGCTCTGTGCAAAACCACCACACAGCAGGTAAGTATAGACACGTTTGTTGTTATTATTTTTTTTTATTTAAGCCTTTAGCATCACTTTAATGTTGCTTTAAGCCACGTCCAGGGGCAGACTGACCATTTGGAAACTCGGGCACTGCCCAACGGCCCGGGGTCAGTAGGGGGCCCCATGAGATGCCCCTGGTACCTTTTTCATAGGCTTTTTTAAGTTTGGGCAAGGGCACAGGGGCCCCATGATGCCCTAATGCCCGGGGGCCCCATGAGTTGTCAGTCCGCCCCTGGCCACGCACACACAATGAGAATTTCAATTGAATGATCACCTGTAATTTCTTGCATGCTAGTCTCATATGGAAAATGAAGAGGTTAGTAAAGTTATGAAAAGTCTTGTAAGACAGAATACAACTTTGGAAGTGATGGAATGTATTGCATGCATGGCCTTGGTCACTAGATTTTTTCCATATGAATACTGTACTAATCAAACGAGAATCATTTTGTTCTGGTATCATACGAGAAAACATTTTGTGCTTGTCCCTTCGGATAATTTTGGATAAACTCATGATCGGCTCTCGAAAACTGTTTATTAATGATCAAGTCATCAGGCGATGAGTATTGGGCCCGCCCTCCAAATCCTTGGATTCAGGTGTTCCAATCCCCTCCATATCATGGAATTCAGGTGTTCCAATCCCCTCCATATCATGTGATTCAGGTGTTCCAATCCCCTCCATGGACACAGGTGTACACAATCAAGCCCCTAGGCATGCAGACTGCTTCTACAAACATTGGTGAAGGAATGGGTCGCTCTCAGGAGCTCAGTGACTCCAAGCGTGGTCCCGTGATAGGTGGCCACCTGTGCAATAAGTCCATCCGTGACATTTCCTGGCTACTAAATATTCCTCGCTCAACTGTTAGTGGGATTATAACAAAGTGGAAGCAATTGGGAACAACAGCCACTCAGCCACCAAGTGGTAGGCCACGTCACATGACAGAGCGGGGTCAGCGCATGCTGAAGCACACAGTGCGCAGAAGTCACCAACTGTCTGCAGAGTCAATAGCTAAAGACCTCCAAACTTGGTGTGGCCTTCAGATGAGCCCAACAACAGTGCGTAGAGATCTTCATGGAATGGGTTTCCATGGCCGAGCAGCTGCATCCAAGCCTTACATCACCAAGTGCAATGCAAAGCGTCGGATGCCGTGGTGTAAAGCATGCCGCCACTGGACTCTAGAGCAGAGGAGACGTGTTCTCTGGAGTGACCAATCAAGCTTTTCTGTCTGGCAATCCAATGGACTTGTCTGGGTTTGGCGGTTACCAGAAGAACGGTACTTGCCTGACTGCATTGTGCTAAGTGTAAAGTTTGGTGGAGGGGGGATTATGGTGTGGGGTTGTTTTTCAGTGGTTGGGCTTGGCCCCCTAGTTCCAGTGAAGGGAACTCTTAAGGAGTCGGCGTACCAAGACATTTTGGACAATTTCATGCTCCCAACTTTGTGGGAAGAGTTTGGGGATGGCCCCTTCCTGTTCGAAACATGCCTGCGCACCACTGCAGAAAGAAAGGTCCAGAAAGACATGGGAGGAGCCAGTTTGGGGTGGAGGAACTTGACTGGCCTGCACAGAGTCCTGACCTCAACCCCATAGAACACCTTTGGGATGAATTAGAGCGGAGACTGCGAGCCAGACCTCCTCCACCGACATCAGTGCCTGACCTCACAAATGTGCTTCTGAAAGAATGGTCCAACCTTCCCATAAACACCCTCCTAAACCTTGTGGACGGCCTTCCCAGAAGAGTTGAAGCTGTTATAGCTGCAAAGGACGGGGCCAACTCAATATTGAACCCTACGGACTAAGACTGGGGGGCCATTAAAGGTCATGTGTGTGAAAAGGGCGGGGCCAACTCAGTATTGAACCCAACAGACTAAGACTAGGAGGCCATCAAAGGTCAAGAGTGTGGAAAGGCTGGCAACCCAATACTTTTGGCAATATAGCGTGTGTATGTATGTATGTATGTATGTATAAAGATATATATACAGTTGCAAGAAAAAGTATGTGAACCCCTTGGGATTACATGGAGTTTTGCATGAATTGGGCATAAAATGTGCTCTGAACGTCATCTAAGTCACAACAATAGAAGAACACAGTCTGCTGAACATAATACTACACAAACATTAGATGTTGCCATGGTTTAATTGCACATAACATGTAAACATTCACAGTGCAGGGAGGAAAAAGTATGTGAGGCCCTAGCTTAATGACTTCTCCCAGAGCTAATTGGAGCCAGGAGTGAGCCAAACTTGACTCCAATCAGTGTGATGATATTGGATGTGTTGCTGACAGCTGTCCTGCCCTTAAAAAACACACACCTGTTTTGGGTTTACTGGTTTCAAGAAGCACTGTCTGATGTGAACCATGCCTCGCAGAAAAGAGCTCTCAGAAGACCTACCATCAAGAATTGTTGAGGGTTACAAAAGTATCTCCTTGAGCCTTGATGTTCATGTGTCCACGGTAAGACAGACTGTCTACAAATGGAGAAAGTTTAGCACTGTTGTTACTCTCCCTGGGCGTGGTTGTCCTGTAAAAATGACTGCAAGAGCACAGCGCAGAATGCTGCATGAGGTAAAGAAGAATCCCAGAGTGTCAGCTAAAGACCTACAGAAATCTCTGGCACATGCTAACATTTTTGTTGACACATCTACAATAAGGAAAACATTAAACAAGAATGGAGTACATGGGAGGACACCACGGAGGAAGCCATTGCTGTCCAAAAAGAATATTGCAGCATGTTTGAAGTTTGCAAAAGAGCACCTGGATGTTCCACAGCACTACTGGCAAAATATACTGTGGACAGATGAAACCAAGATTGAGTTGTTTGGGAAGAACACACAACACTATGTGTGGAGAAAAAAAGGCACAGCACACCAACATCAAACCTCATCCCCACTGTGAAACATGGCGGAGGGAGCATCATGGTTTGGGGGCTGCTTTGCTGCCTCAGGGCCTGGACGGATTGTTGTCATTGATGGGAAAATGAATTCCAGAGTTTATCAAGACATTTTGCAGGAAAACGTACGACCATCTGTCCGCCAACTGAAGCTCCACAGAGGATGGGTGATGCAACAGGACAATGACCCAAAGCATACAAGTAATTCAACAAAACAATGGCTGCAAGAGCACAGAATACGCCTTCTGGAGTGGCCCAGTCAGAGTCATGACCTCAACCCGATTGAAATGCTGTGGCATGACCTTAAGAGAGCGATTCACACCAGACATCCCAAGAATATTGCTACACTGAAACAGTTTTGTGAAGAGGAGTGGTCCAAAATTACTCCAGATTGTTGTGCAGGTCTGATCTGCAACTACAGGAAACGTTTGGTTGAGGTTATTGCTGCCAAAGGAGGGTCAACCAGTTATTAAGTCCAAAGGTTCACATACCTTTTCCTCCCTGCACTGTGAATGTTTACATGTTATGTGCAATTAAACCATGGCAACATCTAATGTTTGTGTAGTATTATGTTCAGCAGACTGTGTTCTTCTATTGTTGTGACTTAGATGACGTTCAAAGCACATTTTATGCCCAATTCATGCAAAACTCCACGTAATCCCAAGGGGTTCACATACTTTTTCTTGCAACTATATATATATATATATATATATATATATACTGTATATATATATAAAACATTTTTCATTCTTATGCAAATTATGAAATTTTAGAATAAATCATTGTTTCAGTTTATTTCCAGGTAGCCATTAGGAGTTTCTAACAATATAAACTCATAAATCACAAAACTCTGATGGTGTGACCTATAGAACTAGAGCCCCACACGTGCATGCGCTTGCCATGCGTTCACCAGCGCAGGGAGATTAAATCACGGTGCAAACTGATTGCAATCTAAATTTAAGTAATCTCCAAAGCCGGGGCTCATTAGCCCTTAAATGGCTTTTTGTCCCTAAGAAAGCCATGAATCACATTTAAAGGGTTAACCTGACAGAAGCCAAAAATTCCTGCATTCAGCGGATTCTGCTTCTCCGCGTACGTACGCAGGAAAGACCGGAAAATAATTTAATCCATTAAATCAGCGGCACTGATACACATAAGAGGCATGTTTATCACTCCTGCCACATTGGCATTTTTTTTTTCTTTTACTGGGTCTCACATCTTCCGCGCTGTTGCTAGGAGACAGGAAATCTGGGTACCAGTCTGTTCTGCTTCTATCTCCGTCTTGGGAAATCACTAACTGCTACTTGCTAATCAAGGCAGCATCGTAGCCATGGCTAATATTGTACCAGGGTGGATGATGAGCCTCATTTAAAAGGAATATTCCTGTTTCCACCTAATGCCATTCTTCTTATCCATTCCGATGACATGTGACCCTTCACACTTTACCAAACTTCCTGGGGAACTTTTCCTTTTTTTTTTTTTTCTTCAATAATAAATCAATTATCCTCCAGAATTAGGCTACTTCACTATACAGGGTGGGTGTCAATCTTTTAAATCATCGAAAAATTACATTTAATTCAATCAGACGTCCATCCCAATATATACAGTAATTGTAAAATAAAATGATTGCATATTGAGAGAATACTTCTTAATAATATCAGAATCACCAACTATGCCATGAATCACTCCATATACGAAGCCTGTTACATTGTAGCCATTTGTAACATATACAGATATGGTGTGCAACAATAAATGGCGATGAAGCTTACTTAATGTCATTAAAAAAAGAAGACTGGAATGCATATCTTCCGTGAGTAGTAATTAAAGGGTAATAAAGAACAAAGCTAATACAACTATTATTGTGGTAACAATGATAAATAACAATTTTCACTTCTTAAAAGATCCCCGAAAAACTTCTCCAGCTACAAACCAGCTAAGCAGATGCTGGAGCTAATGAGTTGCTTCAAGGGAAATCCTGACCAAGTTAAAAACTCTTGGATAAGTTGCAGTTAATTTATCAGGTGATACAATGTTTCGCCTAAATATTTCAATGTCTGGATTATTATTTCAATGTAATACTAATACAATATATATTTGAAGCATCCAAGTACAGAGAAATGCTGAGAGCCCCCAACTCCATAGTTTGCTGCTACGAATTCCGAGGTTTTTAAACAGAAGGTCCCATAGATTTGGACTGTCTATGGCTGTTCGTGTTGCAAAGCCAATGTGCATTAAAAAATTTGCTTTTGTTCTCCTCTGCAAAACCTGTGATCTTGGTTCACAAGAGGCAGATTTGGCTTTCTTCAGAAGTTGCAAGCTTTTATGGTTTAGGTATGAGATTTCTAAACCATTGGGAGAAAGAGCTCAATCTCATGATGAGGACCTAAGTGTCAGATTCCTATTGTTTTAGGAGCTCTCAAAGATACTTCTCCCCAGAGAGATTAAAAGACTAACAGGTCACATTTAATTAACAACAACAAAAAAAACAGTAAAATTCATAAATCTGAGATGCCTCTTCATGGGACTAGACTACGATATTACATTGGAGTAAGAACTGGAACATACAATTAGGGATGATGGCACCCCTTGTATCATACCCCTTTCCCTCTTTAAGAACTGGAACATACACACCTGTAATAAAAAGGTGAGTTTTAGAGCTAGGTGTTAGGTTGGTGCTCGGTGTGGATGTTAGTGGAATGGGGTGGTAGTGGAATGGGGTGGGAGTTCGGTTTACTGTTAGTATTGAAAGAATTGGGGCGAGAGTTGGGGGTGGTGTTGGTGGGTCGGAGTTGGGGTTACAGTTAGTGTTAAAGAAAGGAGTTAGGGTGAGAGTTAGTGATTGGGGGTAGAGGTTAGGGTTGGAGTTAATGTTGGGGTAGAGGTTAGGGTTGGAGTTAATGTTGGGGTAGAGGTTAGGGTTGGAGTTAGTGTTGGGGTAGAGGTTAGAGTTGGAGTTAGTGTTGGGGTAGAGGTTAGAGTTGGAGTTAGTGTTGGGGTAGAGGTTAGGGTTGGAGTTAGTGTTGGGGTAGAGGTTAGAGTTGGAGTCAGTGTTGGGGTGGAGGTTAGGGTTGGAGTTAGTGTTGGGGTAGAGGTTAGGGTTGGAGTTAGTGTTGGGGTCGAGGTTATGATTGGTGTTAGGAGTAGGATGTATAGAATGAGTCAGTGTTATTGGGAGCAGTTAGGGTTGTGGTTAGTGTTAGGAGTAGGAGTTAGGGTTGGTGTTCCGAGTAGGCTGTAGGGTAATAGTTAGTGCTAGAGGCAGTAGTTCTGGTTGAAGTTAGTGTAGGGGTAGGAGTTAGGGTTAGAATTAGTGTTAGGATTAAGAGTTAGGGTTAGAGGTTGTATTAGGGGTAGTAGTTAGGGTTTTTAGTTAGTGTTAGGGGTAGGAGTTAGGATTGGTGTTAGGAGTAGAATGTAGGGTAATAGTTAGTGCTAGAGGTAGTAGTTATGGTTTGAAGTTAGTGTAGGGTTGGAGTTAGGTTCAGTGTTAGGATTTAGAGTTAGGGTTAGAGGTTGTATTGGGATAGCAGTTAGGGTTTGA